CACTCCACTCTTTGAATTCAGGATCACTCTTGGAGGGATATGTGACAGTCCCTTCGATATGGTCGATCATCCTACGACCACTGATATACATACGAGTAGATTGAGCCCACTCTATATAGTTCGTCTCATCCAGCCTAACAGTCATAATACAAAGGCCTGGATAGTGATCACGACTACCTCCCAATACTGGAGTCAAACTTGGGGAAGACCCAACTTCTTTTGAAGTCACATCTAAACCAGACAATTTATCAAACAGTTTCTGGGTATTAATCCTCAGAAACAAAAATAGCAACAAAATACGTAGAGAACTACCTCTTTAACACAAAACTTCAACTAGAAAGATTATCCATCTTCTAAGATGCATAAAAAAGCGACCACACAATCACCACACAAACCCTAGAAAGCAACAAAGTAGACCATTCCAGAATCGCGAACGACGAAGAAAAAACCGTTGTTGCAAAACTTCATGAACACGAAAAAAAACACCAATCGAGACTGCAATAGATCAAAAAAATGTCCAAAAAAAAAAAAAAATCAGGCCCTTGCCCCGAACCCCGAGCAGGGACGCTCTACCCCCTGCAACCCATAACCCAACTCCGCGGTACGTGTGGATGTGATTAACACTACTTCCTTGCAAACAAATCCCATCTTGGAATCTCTTCAAAACCCTTCACACCCACTAGGGTTTACACAAACTTGCCTTAGGGTTTTAACTACACACCTAGAGCTTTACAAACCTTGCCCTAATATCATGTTGACTTTAAAAGACAATCAAATCAAAGGGTAAAGTATAAGAAGAAGAAAAAGAGAAGAAAGAGGATGACAAAAAAAGAGAGAAAGATGGGGAAAGTGAGAAAGAATGAAAGAATACTTTCATCCTTCCACCACATTATATTTATAATAATAAGTTTCAAAATTTACACATAAGCCCCAACATTATATAAGTAATAACAAATAAGCCCCCACAAGGGATGCCCTAGCAAGGAATTAATCCTAGCCCTTCATATAAATATAATCTCACAACTAGAATTCTCTCCAGCAACATAAAAGGCTAAAAAATGACAAAACAATCCTTAAGTAGTCACATGACTCACTTAAAAGGAAAATGACTTATAAAATAAAACTACAATGACAATAATATCCTAAGCATGGAATCAAAACAAATTTAAAACTTAGATAAATGACTCAAGACCCATAAATAAACAAACAATCTAATCACACCATCAGTTGCATCTATTAATGGAAACTCAATCTAGTCTTCCAAGGCCCTTCAACTGTTTGAAGAAAGCACTCTTCCATTTGCATTGCATCAGTCCCTCTAGGTGAGAGAAAACTCGTCCTTGAGTTAGAAGCAAAATTCCACGATGAATGAAAAATCTTAGCATGGCTTTCCATCCCTTCTTTCTTCGTTTCCGAACTCGAATCAACTATAATAATCTCCTAATACTAACAAAGAAAACATATGCATAATCAGTATGAATTTTGCTTGATTTTCTTTGAAATTGTGTAGATTTGCAAAACTCGGTTAAACTCATATCCTGCTGAGTTTAATTAACTTTATTTTTTTTTTTCACGCCTAGCAATTGTAGTGCGTTCCAATAATTCACCCCAAATCATATCATAAAAGTAAAAACCATTTTTAGTACTCGAATCTTCAAACACCAACCAATGATCAGACTTGTATTCTTGCAAAACTTCCATTGGTGAAAGGTTAAACGCTTCATTGTTCTCCATTGCTCTTATTACCGCCACATTCTCATACCTTCCTTACCAAAGATCGCTGATTGATCCTAATCAATAGATTCAATGAGTGGTTCTTCATAAAAAAATTGGAGACTTACTCCAGTCAACAAATGGTTCTATGGTAGTCGATGTTATGAACAACCATGACTCAGCATTTGTTGAATCATTCTTGGAATCATGATAGAAACTTTCGAACTGTGGCTCCTCATGATTGATGAAAGTGTTCTTGTTAGACTCATCATCCTTGTCATAAATAGGTTCCTGTTATTGTGGTTGTTCTTCTTCTCCACCAACATATCTTAAAAATTCTGGAATTTTCACCTTAAAGCCACCATACAAATGCCTTTCCTCAAATGGAAGAAGTGTTGGTCTAGGTGCTGCGTTTCCGGAAAAATGATTACTTAAATCCTCTTCCAGATTGTCCTCATCCTCAGATTTGACGCCATCTTGAGAAGGGGCTGGGGTTTGTGCAACGCGCAGGGCAAAAGCTTCAATCTGCCTTCTTAGATCTTCTATCACGGCAAGCACTTGTTGTTGATCAACACCTGCGTACTGATGAGGCCGAACGGCTGGTTTGCGAAGTGGATTTCTTCTCCCTGGTGGCATTTGCAAAACCTAAGAGAGATACCCAATATCCCAACACAAAACCACTGGACCAGAACTTGCTCTGATACCAACTAATGCAATCAGTTATGAAAGAAAGAAAATAAATCCGAAAAAGGAAAAACAGAGAGCTAATTCAAGCTAACAAATACCTTAAACACCCACAACTCAATCCCAAAGAAAGGGAGAGGTAAAAGCTGTTGTAGCAAGCTGGTTATATTGAAAATACGTAAAAAGTTGTTGAATACAACTTGGAACAACCCTTTCTAAGACACAAAGGATGCCCTAGCAAGGACTTAATCCTAACCCTTCATATAAATATAATCAAACAACTAGAATTCTCTCCAGCAAAATAAAAAGCTAAAAATGACAAAACAGTCCTTAAGTAGTCACATGGCTCACTTAAAAGGCACATGACTTATAAAATAAAACTACAATGACAATAATATCCTAAACATGGAATCAAAACAAATTTAAAACTTAGATAAATGACTCAAGACCCATAAACAACGCACAATCTGATCAAACCATCAGCTGCATCTATTAATGGAAACTCAGTCTAGTCTTCTAAGGATCTTCAACTGTTTAAAGAAAGCACTCTTCCATTGGCACTGCATCAGTTGTGAACTCGTGAAGTCTAGGTGACAGGTCGCTTTTGAAAGCTCGACCGGCGATAAAAAGTGTTTGGCCAAAGGCCCAAAGCCTAAAAGAGGTTGACCCACTTCATTCGCCAAGTGAATGATCTTTGCTTCGCGGGAACAACAAAAACCGCGAAAATAACATAACAAGAAGAAAGAAAATCTATTCTTGCCTCCATGGCCACGACCAAATCCCGTTGGCTAATACGCATTCAAGAAAGAATTCTCTCAATCCAATCCGAATGGAGTTGTTTTCAAGAAGTTGGGCAGAAGGGAAAGAGGCTACCAACTAGTGTGAGTTCCTGAACATCATAGTTCAGCCCTTTCCAGGCCACTTTCTGCTACTGCGTCTGCCTTCTCTGTACACCTACCCTTCTGTTACCAATCACCATCTCCAATCCCAACTGGTTATCTAAGGAAGTAAAGGACGCCCTACTCTCGTCCAGAGCTAATGACCAAAAAAGGAGGTATTGACTTGCTTGAATGTGTGAGTGGTCATAAAAGATAGCAAAGGAGAAACAAGCTTGTGAAGCTTTATAAGGGTATGCTCTTCCACCATTGAAAGAAGGTTGGGGGTTTGTTAAATCTTAAGAGAGGTGCTCTTGAGTCGTGGACCTTGGCACGAGGATCCGAACACAGAAAATTGCTTGTCCTAGTTTTTGCATTCTTCTATCCCTTCTCTCTTTACATTTGGCAGTTGTTGAAATTATTTCTATATTTATTTGCATACCAAGTGTTTGGGAAAAAGGCCAAGAACTACAATAGTTTGCCAAAAGACTAAATTCAACCCCCCACCCCCTGAGTCATTGCTTGCTCAACAACTTGGAACAGAGTTTGTAAGCCAAAAACAGGAGGTTTAAGCCTTCTAAACTTAGAAGCAACAAACAAGGCTGCGGTCATGAGACATCTGTTGGAATTCTTTCCGATAACCCTCAGAGAATATGGGTTCAGCAGACGAAAATTCACTTAGTCAAAGGCAAGAACCTGTGGGAATTTAAGATACCTCCGCTACGCATATGGAGCACATGGAATTGGAGGAAAATTCTTCAGTTGAGAGGAGCTGCAAGGACATTCATCCAAACCAAAGTAGAGAATGGATTCACCTGCTCCTTTTGGATGGACTGGCTTCCCAGGGTACACTACTGCAAAGAATTGAGCCTAATGTTGTGTAGATTTCAACTACCCCACTCAACACCATGGTTGACTGATTCATCTCAGACAAAAGTACCCTAGTGTTTAATTGAAATCCTGATAAAGACTTTACTAAAGGACCTAAAAAGGAACCACTCTTTCATGCTATGGAGATAAAACTTTCAGATGGTTCCAGATTACTTATTATTCATCACATAAAAATTACTTTCAACATACGATGGACCAACTGATGTTGTAGATTAAAATCGTCACCATTGAGTAGCTAGAATTATTCACTTCAATTAAACACTAGGGTTTTTTAACAAAATCTCCATAAGCATTTCCATCAAGTCATTAGAGTTGTTCATGAAACACCGGGTTTCTTACAGCTTGCTCAATAACCAGACAGCAACATTTGTAACATTACTGATCAGATATAAAGAAAAGTGGAGAACAAAGAAGCAAAATTAGAATACAGCCAAATTGAAAAATCCAATAATAAGGGAGACAAAAATTTATGGAGAAAATGCATGGCCTTTAGTGCTCTTATAATAGCTTCTGTTTACAATTCAAACAGTGGCCAAGTCAATCCCCAATGCAATAATGCAAATATTAGTCCGTTGTGTACAGTAAGACAGTATAGTTTTCATCATACACAAAAATCCAATCAGAACAAATAACAATTCAATCTCCAAAAGTTCCACATGTACATGAAAAAACTATTTGCATTAAAATATTGTAGCATAATTATTTGTAAGAGCTGAAGATACAGCAAGAAGATATGCCAAAGTTGATTTCTCGATCACGCAACAAGTAGAATATATTGATCAACAAATGAAATGAATAGTTAAAATTTTAAAAGGCAGGAAAAGCAATCATCAGTACATTCAAAGATTATTAGCCAGTCATATGCGAGTTATCCCCTTCTTGATTGCAAATGCGAAGGAGGCAAATCGATTTCTTGATAGAAGGTATGGTGCAGATATTCTCATTGTTAAGGGTCTCCTAGACTCATCTATAGAAAAAGAAGGTGCCTTTTTCTTATCCATGGGTGGGAATGTAATGTGGAACGAAGGCCGAAAAACATGGTTCCCATATTGGAGGAATGATAAAACAGACCACCATCGCCCCATTCTGTATGGACTTGAACTCTGTTAAAAAACAAAAAAATAGTTATTAAAGGCTCAAGACGCCAGAGGCTTCTGGAGCCTAAGTGCAAGGTTGAATACAAGGCACGAGCCTGATCAAAGTAAGAAGCATGTATGATAATGATGCATATTAAAGATTAATCTATGAAAAATAATTAAACTACGTAACACATGCTAGTCAATATCAAAGTAAAGATATCTTTTCAACATTTCAATTAAGTGAAATAGCTAAATAACATACCTATATCTTTTCAATTTGCATGTGTATTCAATTTAATCAAATGTACATTTTTGAACAATTCAAGAGATGCAAAACAACTAATAAAAAAAAAATCTCTAAAAATGGGATTTTTTATATATCAAACTAAGAGGACCAGGTAAATTGATGTGCAAAAATCCTTTTCATATGCAAACATCATCATCCTTGTCTTTATCCAATATGAATGGGCCGGCCACATGAATTCTCTTTTCCATTCTTTTCTATTATACACCATGTCTTCTCTTAAATTTAATTTTTGATATTGTATTTAATTACTTCATCCCACGTAAGCTTTGGTCAGCCTCTTTGTCGCTTACCTTCTAGGCAAACAACTCTTTACTCTTTTAACAAATGCATCATCGGGTCTACATTGAATATGGCCATACCACCTAAGCCTACTTTTTCTAATTTTATCATTTATAGGCATTATACCTACTGTTCCCCTCACACGTTCATTATTTTATCTTAACCTCTTCTACTTACTCCTATCATCCAATGTAGGATCCACAATTCGACTACATGAATGTGTTGTATTTGTCTTTTGCAACATCCAACAATACGCTCCATACAATTGCTGACCTGATAACCGTTCCATAGAATTTTTATTTTTATTTATTTGGTATTCGTTTGTCACAAAGGATACCACTAACTTGGCTCCATTTTGTCCAACCTCCCCCCCTTTTGTACTTACTACATCACCATCTATCTCCCCATCTTTTTGTCATACAGATCCTAGAAAACGAAAGTAGTTATTTTGAGTAACTGATTGGTGATATTTATATTGTCATCATTTTCTACTTTATTAAATTTACATTTCATATACTTCATTTTAGTTTTATGAATTTTTATGCCTCTTGTTTCTAATGCCTTTGTCCATGTTTCTAATTTTCAAAATAATACACAAGTACTTCAAATCCACTTTGGGAAAGATATATCATAATTACCTTAATAAAAGACCAAGGTTCTGCTTGATAAAAGTGAAAATTAAGCACTGAAAATTTCAAGTACTGAATTTTAAGCGCTGAAATTTTAAGTGTTGAATGATTTACCTAAAACCAGGGACGGATCCAAGAATTGTGTGAAGGGGGACAATTTGTAGGATTTTTTGTGTAATTTCAGGGGGGCAATATGAAATTTTCATAGGTATATAATTCAAAAAAGGAAAATTCTCTAATATTAATAACTAAATAAAAAATAAAAAATTCAATGGGGGCAATTGCCCCCACTGGCAATGAATTAGATCCGTCCCCTGCCTGAAACTTGTTTGATATTGTCTTAATTTTAATTGTTGAATACATTGAGATTGTTTGTTAAATACAAAGCTGAAATCTTAATGTTGTACAGATTACATTTTTGCCCTCAATATCTTCTGCTCATAACATTTGTATAGAAGATATTATATATATATATATATATATATATATATATAAAACAATAAATTTCACCTAAAGAAATATATCAATTTAACAATAAATATTAATGTCAAAACTGATCATACAAAAATCTTAATTCAAACATAAATAATAAACATTATTCAAGCAGTACTCATTAACATAATTTTAAAATCGAATGTCTCAAAACTGTTAAATGAAGCTAAACATATAAAAATTTAAACTCGAGAACTAAATACATCATTTGCAATTTGGTCACAGAAATTAACCATCAACACTTGATCTGATTGCCTTCTTGTGTTGTGGATTTTAGAGGAGAAAATACTAGAAATTGTAACTCTAAATATGGAGTAATAAAATCTAGATAGATTTTTCTATACAAATGGCATGTCAGAAGTCAAAACATGTGTACAAATATCTAGACAGGAGAAACTACTAGAAATTGTACCTTTAGAATTTAGGTGGGATGGTTAGAGTTTTTAGGCAATAAAATAAATTTTCTTTCTTATTCCAAGTGTTCTACTTCTCCCTCCATACAACTATCCACCTTTTATAAAATATTCTACTATCTTCAGTTTTACCTACCATCTAAACAATTTCATCCATCGACCAAACACTCTAACCATCCCACCTAAATTCCAACATCAGTGATACTATCCATCTTTTATAAAATATCCTACTATAACTGTTAACTACCATCTAAACATGGAGGAGTTTCAAAGTTCGGGATGGAAGGTTTGTCCGGTTTTGGGAGGATCCCTGGTGCGCAGATAGGCCTTTGGCTCTTTTGTTTCCAAGGCTGTTCAGGATTGTTGTTGACAAACATGCTATGGTTGCTAATTGCTATCGCCTTGATAGCGGGAAGTTATCTTGGGATGTGCGATTCTAGCGATCTTTTCAGGATTGGGAGTTGGATGATGTCACTGGCTTGTTGGCTCTCTTGTACAGACAGGAGGTGGAGGGCACTGGTGTTGACTCCTTGATTTGGGTGCCCTCTTCTCATGGGATGTTCCAGGTCCGGTCTTTTTTTGTGTGCCTCTCTGGTTTTCATGGCGTTTCCTTCCCGTGGAAGACGGTGTGGTTGTCCAAGGCGCCTCTTAGGGTGGCCTTTTTTGTGTGGACTGCAGCTTAGAGTAAGATTTTGACTTTGGATAACTTGAGGAAGCGAAGACATATTATTGTTAATCAGTGTTGTCTTTGTAAGTTGAATGGGGAGTCAGTGGATCACCTGCTGCTGCATTGCCCTGTGACTCATGATTGTTGGAGTCTCATTTTTGATTTGTTTGGTATTCATTGGGTCATGCCTCGAACATCTCGGGAATTGCTGGATATTTGGAGGGGCCAATGGGTGGGGACTCAGGCGAGAGTCTTCTGGAGGGTAACCCCCTTTTGTGTTTGGTGGAGCATTTGGAAAGAGTGGAATAGAAGATCTTTTTTATGGGAAGGAATCCTCCATTGGGGTGTTGAAATTTTCTATTATTTGTACTCTTTTTTGTTGGGGTTGGGGGAGAGATTTTTCCTCCATCGAGGATATTGTGGACTTTTTGGGCTCCTTGAGATCATAGTTTCAGTTTTTTGTATAGCTTGGGACGCGTTTCCCTTTTCAACACCTTCTAATACATTTTACTTATCAAAAAAAAAAAACATGGAGGAGAAAATACTAGAAATTGTAACTCTAAATATGGAGTAATAAAATCTAGATAGATTTTTCTATACATATGACATGTCAAAACATGTGTACAGATATCGAGAAAGGAGAAACTTCTAGAAATTGTATCTCTAGAATAATCAACTGTTTTTAGGCGATAAAATAAATTTTCTTTCTTATTCCAAGTGTTCTACTTCTCCCACCATACAACTATCCACCTTTTAAAAAAATCCTACCATCTTCAGTTTTACCTAACATCTAAACAATTTCATCCATCGACTAAACACTCTAACCATCCCACCTAAATTCCAACATCGGCGATACTATCCATCTTTTATAAAATATCCTACTACAACTGCTACCTACCATCTAAACAAGTCCATTCATCAACCAAAGAAGCCCAAGAGAGAGATTAGTTGAGAAAATCCCTGCCAAACAATGAGAAGAGCCTTGCGATTATACAATTGGTGATTAATTTTTATTTTTTTATTTTCTAAACCCACCAATTAGCAACCTTCAAGTCCTTAAAATTTTGGCCTCCTTTAAGAGGTATCCTAAATTGTTACTAACCACGCTTAATTTTTAAAATCGTAGACCGTGTTCATTTTTAAGCGCTGAATGAGGTTATTAATCAGGGCCTAATAAAAAAAAAAAATGTACCAATTTGGCAAGCTTTAAAACAATATGATTATTAGGAACAAAACAGAGAAGTACTTTAATAACTTATACAAAGAATAGCTGATGTAGGACAAAGAACAGGCTCAAATAGAAGAAAGTAAATAAGAGTTATTGGCTAAAAAATTCATAAACAAAGCTAAGATTCAGGATTAATAGAAAAGAATTATTGAAATTAACAAAAGAAAAGCCTATTTGAATCACTCCAATAGGAACTAGGTATCACACCTAGAGAAGACCTCACACCCTCAGAATTTGTGAATCACTCACGAAGAAATCTCAAAGGATAATTTTATTCAATCATTCGCTGCCCATTCAAAGTTACATAGTATCCTTTTTATATTAAAAGATGACCCTTGGATTACCCTACAATGGAGGTAATCAAAAGTTGACTCTAGCTTAATAAAGTAACAAATGACTTATTGATCCAATTTAAACTATTTATGCAATTTACCAAAATAATGCAAATTCACGGTATTCACCATAATTAATACAATTACCAAAATAATGCAATTTGACCAAACCCCCTAATAATGCAATTTACCAAAATGATGCAGATTCACCATAATTAATGCAATTACCAAAATAATGCAATTTGACCAAACCTCCTAATTATGCAAGACTCCAAGTGGACCCCATCGTCTAACATGTGCCAAATAAAGGTTTGAGCTCTAGAATTCTTTTTGCCACGCCTTTTAAATACTTTAAAAGGTTGCTGCCACTGTTCTCTACTTGGGTTGTTCTCTACCAATAGCTCTAGAATTTGTCATTTAACAAGTGATAACTAAGAATATTTTTTTTTTTTTTTCATAATTGATTACTAAGAATATTAGCATATATAATATCATTGTTGTTAGGGTTAATTTCACTAACACCCCCTCAAGTTTGGCCAAATATCACATTGAAACAACTTTCAAAAATACCTATCACTTAGGTACAATTTTAAATTTCCGTGACACCTTTAAATTTTTGTGAAAAATACAATTTTGTCCCTAATTTTTTAATACAATTTATTCCAAAATATCAGCTA